CACTCATATTGAGGTTGGCACTGGCGAATTCATGAGATTTTGCTATAATTCACCTCTGAATCAAGTGTCTCTGTCACTAACAGTGTCTAAGGGAATTCAAAATCCCAAGTCCAATTGTCAGCGAAGAGGCCAGCAATCTACATCATGGTGGGAGACTTCTCCATAGGTATCAACCTCCTGAGCTTACCGAATCAGTTGGCGACGACCAAAACAGTGTTATTTTTTCTGTTTGTCTCAGGAAAGCCTCCCATAAAGTGCATGGAGATAGATTTGCCTAGTCTGTCAAGAGACGCACTGGCTTCGAAATGTTGAATGCTCTCTGCACTTTTCACTTCGACCAGTGATACATATCACAACTCTGCACGTACTCTGCCACATCACTCCTCTATTGTGGGCCAATAGAACCGCTCCATGAGTCGCATGTGTTTTTTCTTCAGGCCAAGGTGGCCTTCGGCATCATGGCACTCTCCCAATACATCGAGCCGCAGTTGTCTGTCCACTGGAACACACAGCCGCAACAACCTTTTGCTCCCTGCAATGCCTGGATCATATAATCGGGGACACGATTGGAGTCGTGTTTCAAATCTGCGATCATTTCGCTAAAGAGAGCGGTTTTAGAGTACCCTATGCAATCATATCCACCAGCTCATCGCTCACATGAATCTGTGACCGAATTGCTGCAAAATGGTCATGCTGCCATGATAATGCATCAGCCACCCGATTATACCTGCCTTTCTCATTCTTCAACTTGCAGTCATAGGTGTCTATAACAACTAACCTATTACAAGTAAACCACCTCGCAAGCTTATCCAAAAGCTTGGGCTGCGTCTTTAATCATTGCAGTGCCTGGTGATCAGAATACACCTTAAAGGGCATAGAGATCCTTCTCGTAGGTACTAATGTTAACTCTCTTTGACAACATGCACTTGGAGAGGTATTTCATTGAACTAAGCCCATACAGGGCATGAAGCTTCTTTTCGTAGGTACTCGGTACAACTCTCTTCGGCAACAAGGACTTTGAGAGGTACTCCATTGGCCTAAGTCCATGCCTTTCATTTTGTTGCTGCATTGCCCCAATCCCATGCTGCTTGGCATCTGTTATCAGCAGAAACAATAGTGAAGGGTTGGCAATCTTTAGGATAGGATAGTTAATGAGGAAATTCTCACAAGTGGTTAACGGGTAGCTGAAAATTCAGGAATGAAAATTCTGAAGTGAGAGTTTCGGTGAAAATCCCGAATGGTTCTGAAGTGGTGAAAGGTCCGAAGACCCTGAAAATCACCTGTTTGGGTAGGCAGCATCCTGAAGTGGTGAAGTGAGAGTTTTGGGCAGTCTGAAAATCCTGAATTGTCCTGAAGTGGTGAAAGGTCCGAAGACCCTGAAAACCACCTGTTTAGGCAGGCTGCATCCTGAAGTGGTGAAAGGTCCGAAGACCCTTAAAACCACTTGTTTAGGCAGGCTGCATCCTGAAGTGGTGAAGGGTGTCTTGAAGTGGTGATGAAAAATACGACTGTTGTTAACCTTCTCTCCTCTCACTTTTTTTGCGTTGGGCCGCATCCCCTCTGCAAGTACTCCCTCAACAGGTCGTTCATTGCTCATTGGAAGGTTGGTGGTGCATTTGTCAAACCAAATGGCATCACTTTGAGCTCATAAACACCGAAGGTTGTCCTAGATGTCGGCTTATGATGGTCTGCTGGCTCTACGTCATTTTACTGGTAGCCACTGTTCAGATAAAGTTTCAAAAACACCTTGCATCCTTACAATCGATATAGCAAATCGTCAAGCTGAGGTAGAGGCTCCACATTCTCGATCGCAATATTGTTGAGACTGTGGTAGACAATGCACATTCGAGCTCATCCGACGCAAACATGCAGAATTTACAAGATATATCGTTTCGAGTCCCTTTCTCACAGCATCACATGCAAGTCCTTGTCCCACGTACTCCAACTGAAATCGACACTGTCCCGCTAGCACAAAAAATCATTGTATTCGACGTAAGCCATCACTGGCCCAAGACCATCTCGAACGACAAATTGTCCAAGATGTAAGAACGTGATAAAATATTTCACTTTTCCTTTTTGGTCAAATGTTACAAAGATATCCCTCACAAACTGAGAAATGTTGACAACAACCCCGTTCCCCACAGCAACTTCCATAAAATTTGGAAGGTCTGGCACCTTCAATCCGCAGTGCAATCTCCAAGTTGCCTTCTTGGAGAGGTATTTCTGGGAAGAACCGTTATCCACCATGACCTTCACTACTCTACTATTCACCATGATGTTAATAAGGGCATCGTCTTCTTCATGGAACTCTTCAACAACTTATCTAACCCCTCACTTTCTTGTTTATACTACAACCATGCCAACGTGGGGTGGATATCACTATCGACATTGATCCACTTTTGTAGACCGTGTCATGGCTGTAGTGGAGCCCGTTCGAATCCGTGCATGCACGGAGGAGGTATGAGGCTGATAAAGTACAGACTGTACTCTAACCAAGTAACCAGCCCGGGAATCATACCTGGATGTGGTGGCCCGTGGATAAAACCATTGGATAAGCAGCGCGCTCGACGCCAATGGAGTGTGCGGCTACTACCTATGTGTCGGATCCCTTTGTGTTGTGTTGTGTCTGTGTTTACATTGAAGGACACTACAACAATGGAGGGGTGGGGTGGATATCAGATATCATGACCGGCATAGATCCACTTTTGTACATTGTGTCATGGCTGTGGTGGTTAAGAAAATTGGCGCTTGAGGCTGAGGGCACCGGTTCGAGTCCGTGCATGCACGGAGGAGTTCCGAGGATGATAAAGTACAAACTATAGCAATGTGTCGTCAACAATCTATGCACCTTCTTGTATTGTGTTGCAATCTGTTCTGGTTGTGGGATAACGCGAGCAAAACGTTGTGCCTACTGCTGCCCTTTTTTTTCTTCCTCCTCATCAGTCTCACTACTATCCTCCTGATCGGCATATGCAATAACGACCATCTCAAGTCGAAGACTATGGCGCTCTGCTGCTAACAGTAGTGGTCCCCCCAACCTATAGGTTTGACTTCACCACCTACTGGCGCCTTCCTTCTATGCAGCACTTCTGTTTTTACACCACCTCCACAAGTGTCCTTTGCGGTCGCAGGCCGTACACAAACCGTCCTCTATCCTGTCCATGAAATTTTCCCTCGTGATTCCACTCCTCCTATGGCACTGTACAACCCACCCATTTGTTTGCGAAATCGTAGTTATTACATACCCACTCTGCTGCTACCTTTGGTTCTTCATTTGCAGTTGTTGTTGCTTCTTTCTATCCACTTTGGATCAACTGCTGCACTGCGGCAAGAAGAGTTTGAGCGTATTCTCCCTGAGGCTCAGACCTGTAACGATTTGCTCACAAGGGTGATCACCCCTTTGTTCATTGCAGTTGCAATTATATGATAAATTGTCTTTTATTGGACCCATGACTGCAACACGTATCTTCCCTCTTCTCTTGCATTGTACCAATGAGTAAATTTGATTCTTTCACCCTTGCCCGCTTGGCTGCTGATGCCCAAGTAGCTTTCAAGGCCTGTTGCAAACATATCGCCTCATCTGCCACAACCCTAAACGTCTCCAACTCCCTTCGCTTGGGGACCAAGAGGGTTGTTAATCTCTCGGGCATGCATGATGAGCTTCTTCCCCCGCTCCAAATCCGGGATGGCAACAGCAATCAAATTCCTGCACAAGATCACCCATTGATCCCCTCAATGGCTGCTGTGAAAGCTCAATGAGTCGATCATATACTCTATCCTCCCTTGTGACCGGCAAATACCACCCCAGCTTGTTTCACCCTTGGCCCGCTTGGCTACTCTATCCTCCCTTGTGACCGGCAAATACCACTCCAGCTTGCAAGGCCTGATCCAAAATAAGGCCTCATCTGCCATGGCCCTAAGGGTTGGCAACCCCTTTCGCT